CTATGATGGTGTCTCCATCACTCATTGATTCCATCTTCATCGCTGTCAAACAACGCTCACCTGTCTCCCCTGGTGCGGATGCAGAGGGAGTGCAGACGGTGCGATCGCGCACCCCCCTAAATTGTATTAAGAAAAATAATTGTTTTATTGTATTGTTGTAAAGTGAGAGTGCAATTTTCGGGCACCAATATAAAGTGAATTCCAACTCTTTCTGTCAGAAATGCCACCTACCTAAACCAATAATATAGACAAAATAAACTTCTTGCATTGTCTAAGTATGAATCAAAGAGGGACTGTAATTAAAAATTGCTGCGCGATAACGTACACCGTTGAGTTCTTTTATAATAATAATAATAATAATAATAATAATAATAATAATAATAAATTATTATTATTATTATTATTATTATTATTATTATTATTATTATTATTATGTCACAATGTATGGTTAATAAAAAATCAAAAATAGGGAGGATATACATTTGCGTTGATTCTTATAACCTTACTGAAAGCATATACAATTTTATTATATTTTGTTATTCCAAAATTACTTTAATCAAATAAAATCAAATCAAATCAAACTTTATTTGTCCATTTAAACACAGGTAAAATGGAAATTCTTTTTCCACAGGCAAAGAACATGAAACATAAAAAAACGACAACTTATAATTTCAATTATTACTTTTTTAATTAATGACTTATTATTTCATTATTTTAACGAATGCTATAAAAAAAAAACAATAAACAAGCAAAAAACAAAACAAAAACAGGTCATTAATGGAGTTGGTAGTCTAATTGTAGATCTCTAGAGCTTAAAACTTACGAACACACTTTGATACAGTACAACTAAAAAGAAAGTAAAAAAAATGACCATCGAGCACCGAGAGACTGAAAATGAACACGGAATCTGTATAAGAGCAACGGCATGAATGGTATGTAAATTTCAAATCAAACAGCGTTGGAAGTGGAAAAAAGAATTAAAAAAAATATACTGAGAAATTGAGACGATATCTAATAAGTGCATAATACTGTATTAATTGGCAAGTAAAATGTATAGTTTCCAGGTCTGTACTCCAGAAGGTGGGGTGTTGCGAAGAGTGTGAATAACGCACCAAACCAAATTTGATAAGGTCCACATTTCCAAGACAGTCTAGAATGTGCTTTATATAAATTTGTGATTTTCTGTCATTTAATAATAAAATCTTAAATTTTTACATTTTAACCAGATTTAACATAATCTACTCAGTCTGTCGTGATTCGGAAAAACACAATAAGGGCCTATTAATGAAACTTGCACAGATACTGTCATCCCCTGCTACGATGACTCCTCCTCCTCCTTCTCCTTACCATCATCACATCATCATCATCATCATCATCATCATCTTCATCATCACAATTATTAATTGCCCATGGTAAAATGGGGGAAATATCTATGAATTTAGTGTGTATTCATTCATCAATAAACGTCTCGTAATGCACGTAAATTCATTTCTCAGCATCTAAAAACACCTGGTTCAACTTTTCCGATTGCATTGCAGACGAATCAGGGTGAATTGATAGCTGCCCTGCGCAATTGGGAAGGCACCCCGATTCGTCTGTGAACAACAGGGTTTAACCTTCCCGACAGCTGTTGGCGACTGTCGACGATAGGGTGATCTATGGAAACCGAGCTAAAATTCCGGATCCGCGCCTATTCTCAAATGTTCTGCCCCCAGCACCAGCCATGGTGGGGGCAGTGATGTGGACCCTCACACCCCCCCTACCGCGAAATCCTGCATCCACCCCTGCTCCCCGTCCACCATAAAAAAACAAAATGCCTGGTTTTTAGTGCTTTATTTCATTTTGTTGATCTTTCGTCTATCTGCCAATATTTGACTACTGTAAATAATTAAAACTGCTTACAAAGTAATCTGTATAGACCTACCAAAAGCAAACACAATACATTAGGCTTACTGATTTATTTAAAAACGTAATACAGTTCAATTGATGGTACATCCCCATAACGAGAAAATCAAGTTGTTAATGTCACAAGCCGAATTTTATTCGACTAGAGAAAAGCGTACCAGATTGTCCTTTACTTCAAATTCTAAAAGATAATAGATTAACATTTACCGTAGTTTAGTTTCTTCTCTAGATTTTATTGTATTTTGACTGAGAGGGCTACCGTACTCTATTGACAGGAAATTGAAATAAACTATACCAGTGTCGGTTTTTATCAACCCAAACGCTAAATATAATTATGGCCTGTATAGGTTTCTTTCTTTTAAAATTATCATAGTTTATGGTACTTTTACTTTCAACATAATTGAGAAATAATAAATTTTACAATAACAGTACTCGATTTCATGGGAATGATGTTCGACTGTTGATGGTATCAGTATGGATTACTTCAGTAAAGGTTAGAAATTGCTAATTTATATGCGTCAAGGGCCCCGACGGTATTCTCGAACCAGGGCCCCTCAGAAATTTGTTAAGCCACTGTTGACAAGTTTGTGGTTAAAATTATGGGCTGTAGACAAATGAATAGAAAAAATAGTTTTTCGTTGATTGTGGCCCTGACCCTTCAAAATTTAATCAGCTCTAGATCTTAGGTTTAGGAACGTTGTGACCAATTTTGACGAATTTCTGATAAAAAAAACTATGGGCTGTAGGCTGTTCACAACAAATATGCCAACAGACAAATAAATAAATAATTAAATAAACAGGGGAAAAAAATAACCTGCCAATTTCGTTGGTAGAGGTAATGAGATCTTTGGTCATGAAACATTGTGACCAAGTTTGACAAGTTCGTGGTTAAAGCTATGGGCTGTAGACAAGTAAATAAAAATAGTTTTTGTTGATTGTGACCTTCACCTTTGACCCTGACCCTTCAAAATTTAATCAGCTCTAGTTCTTAGGTAAGGGAACATTGTGGGCAAAGTTTGACGAAATTCTGATAAAAACTATGGGCTGAGGCTGTTCATACAAATATGCAGACAGACAAATAAATAGCTAAATAAAAAACCAGGCGAAAACATGTAAGTTGATTAATAATAATAATAATAATAATAATAATAATAATAATAATAATAATAATAATAATAATAACAACAATAATAACAATAATAATAATAATAGAAATAATAATAATAATAATAATAATAATAACAATAGTTGTTTTTTGTCACCAATATTATTTACAATTTACACTAACGAATTAAATAAAATTCAAAAAAGCATGGAAAGTGACCAAAGTGACGGCCTGAAAAAGCAGTGCAAAAAGATAGGAAAAATATATGCAAGAAAAAATTTAAAAAAAACAAAATCAGAACAACAATGGCTTTTCCCAGTGCTGCTGGGAAAAACCAATAATAATAATAATAATAATAATAA